TCTAGTGCATAAGGCTTCATGTCCAGGTAGAGATACCCAAAGGCTGAAAGAAGCAGGCAAAAGACTATGAACTGTGAAACCTGTATAGAGACTAATACCATCCAGCTCCAGATAAGAAAAGCAGAAGACACTGATGGACACTTTCCAGGAGAGAGCATTGGTGTGTGGTATCCCCCTTACCTGTTGTTTCACTTTCCATTCTTACAAGTGGTCAACTCTGCTCTGAAAATATTAATATGAATTCAAATATTCGTGGAATATCCTGTGTTTTGAGACACAGAACATTCACATAATTTTTATTAAAGTATATTGTTATAATCATTCTATTTTATTATTATATTAATCTATTGCTGTGCCCAATTTATAAATTAAACTTTATTAGGGATACTCATGCATAGGAAAACACACAGTAAATATAGGATTGGGTGCTACCTGTGGCTTCAGTCACCCACTGCGGTTCTTAGAATGTTCCCTCTGGTGGATGAGGAGCAAAAGAACTCTACTGTGCATTTGTTCCCCTCCACAGGGAAGCAATGAGGTCTTTCTGTATAACTCCACTTGCCAGCAACAGGAAGGGCAGTTTCAGGGGACCCCTGGGAGATCTGTACCTGTGACCTCAGCATTTGAAGCAACCTGTCCCATGCCCGATTCTCACTTGAAAGATGAAAAGTGCCAGAGTGTTGAAGATGGGATGGAGCAGGAGAATGCTACATTCTCACTGACAGAGGGGCACAGGTGTGAGTTTCTGTGGCAGATGTGGAGTTGGGTAGAATGATTTCACAGGAATATGACTGAAGAAAATGGACGTTTACCAGTTTTCCTCCTGGGCACCAGAGGGATTGCCCTTCACCCAGACCACTTGAGCTCACATATCCCTCAGTGACCTATTTTTTTGTTAAAAGTTGGGAAGAAATGATGTGGGTCACTTCAAGATAGAAATTTCAAGAGCCAATCAATAATTTCCTCTTTTTCGTCCCATCACCAATACCACGGGCACCATCACCACCACTGTTGTAACCACTATCTTTCTCACCACTGCCACCAACTATGCCACCTACTTACTGAGCACTTCACTCTATCCCAGGCACTGTCTCAGGTGCTTCCTTTTATTTAAATTTGTTTAATTAGCACATGTGCAGGTAATGGTGTTATTTCAGAACACTGGATATGAAGAAGAGATGGAAAAATCTTCCAGAGAGGAAAAGAGTCACTAACATGAAGAGTATTACTGATGTCCCACTGGCATCGCCAGTTTGGAATGTCCTGAGGCAATGAAAACAAATTCCAAAGCTCTGAAGGGAAAATCCTTTCAAATTCTCTATCCAGAGACACTGTCAGTCCAGTACGAGGGTGCATGAAAATCTTAGAACTATGTTTAAGGACTCAGGCCTGCTTCTTCAGGAGG